TTAGACAACAAGAGCCCAATAGTGAAGTTGATGTTAAATTTCGGATGTTTACGAATGAAACTCTCAAAGTCCTTAATCACTATCGCGCGAAAAGATACAGCTCAAACCTCACTGAGGTGCAAAAACGTGGTATGCGAGAGGTTAAACAGCTGATAAGGTTGAAAAACATAAGACTATCCGTTAGTGATAAGGGCAGAGAGTCTGTCGTAATTCTCCATCAGTTGGATGTTGAGATAACGAAAAAGCGTCTTGAAGATGCTTCACTTTATCGCCTACCATCTGAGAAGGAGTATAAAAGTAAATACCGAAAATCGAACCATGATTGGGCCAAAATGGCAAGGGCGGCTGGTTTAAAACCATCAGTTATCTCTCAACTAAAAATTGACCTGCCAACATGACCCGTCTTGTACTTGCTTACAAAAACTCGATTGGTAAGGTAAGTTGGTAAGCAGCGATGATCCTGCGTCTACCGATTTACCATTATTTAAGGTTACACCTGTCATTAGCTGCGTAGACGGGCCAACGGATAGGATAACATAGTTTTTAACCCTAATATTTAACTAGTTTAACATAGTTTTTAACCCTAATATTTAACTAGTTTTTGAAACACATTTCAGCCTATCTTGCGAATACCCAGATGTTTTTGGATCGTCTACGTACTGTGCAGCCCAGCAGCGCGTACGTGATGGAGTCCTTCGACGTTACCACCCTCCATACAAACGTGTCGAATGACTCCGCAATGCAAGCCATATGCGAACTCCTTATACAACACGAAGAAGAAATAAACATGTATGGCTTCAAGATAGAGCAGTTGATGTCACTATTAAAAGAATGAGAGCAGTTGAGGCACACTTAAAAGAATGCTTGAGCTGCTCAGTCTTCAGATGGTCAGGAAAGTACTACGCTCAAATAAGAGGGTTGGCAGTGGGAAAGAAAAACCAAAAGCCAAGTAGTAAAAACATCTTGGTACATTACCTCTCTTCTCGCCTCTCTCACACAAAAAGAGCGCTTGTAAGAAACATGTTTCGAACAGCAACCAACGTGTACACGGGAACAGAGCAGAGAGAGGAGTCCAGGAATTTGCCGCGGCAAATAGCCATTTCCAATGGCTACGAAACTGTAGCTCGGGATAGGTGTAGGGAAAATCGGAGGTCCCTAAACGACAACTCTAGCGATAAAAAGGTCCCGTTTATCCTACCCTTCATCTCAAATGATGCAAGTGCAGCTATATAGGTGCTGGGGGAAGAATTGAATGTGAGAAGTGCTGGAATCCGCATAGTATACTTTTTTTGCTAAAACTTAAAATTAACGCTATATTCAGCGATGTTTTTACTTGCCTGCCAGTACCAAGTACTCTTGCGACTGATGTCCAATTCAAATGGCATAGAAGGTTTTCAAAAAATAATGCTACCTCTTTTTTACTTGACTTCACTCTCAAAAACTGATTAGTAAGTGCAAACCAATATTGAAATTTTTACCGTTCAAAAGATATTTCAGTAATTTGAAAGTGAGTCAGCAGTTGATGACACTCTTAAAAGAGTGCCTAAACTGCTCAATCTTCAGATGGTCCGGGAGGTATTACGCACAAATGAGAGGGCTGGCAATGGGACAACGGCTGGCACCAAGCCTTGCCATTGCATTTATATCGAAGGTGGAAGCGCCAGTAATCGACCTAGGTCCGTTACTCTACTGTAGATATATAGATGACTGCTTGGTCGTTTGTTCAACGCAAGAAGAAATCGACAGGTGTTTCGAGTTGTTGAACACGCAGTCAGAGTATATTAAATTCACCCGAGAAAAACCAAAGGAAGACTGGCTTCCATTTCTGAACGTGCAAATTAGCCTATCAGAAAACGGCTACATTACGAAGTGGTATCGTAAGCCAAGTAGTAAAAACATCCTAGTTCATTACCTCTCCTCTCACCCCTCTCACACGAAAAGGGCGCTTGTGAGAAACATGTTTCGAACAGTAACCAACGTCAGCACGGGCAAAGAGCAGAGAGAAGAGTCCCGGAGCATGGCACGGCAAATAGCCATTTCTAATGGCTACGAAACCGTAGCTCGAGATAGATGTAGAGGAAACCACAGGTACCCCAACGATAACTCTAGCGACAAGGTCCCGTTTATACTACCCTTCATTTCAAATGAAGTAAGTGCAGCTATAAAACGCTGTTTAAGAAGGGCCAATCTAGAGAATTCGGTAACGATAATCGAAATACCACCGAGTAATGTAAGGCGCCAGCTAGTTCGTAACCGCCTATACGACCGTCTATGTGCAACGCAAAATTGCATAATTTGTCCCAATGGTAGAGACGGTGACTGCATGAGTTCGGGTACAGTCTATCTGATCTCTTGTAAAGCGTGCGGGGACGAATACGTTGGCGCAACGGGTAGGCCACTCTGCGTACGTAGAAAAGAACACCTAGTCGGCAAGCGTAAGCCAAGTACTCCACTAGGTACGCATGCACGCAGAAACATAACGGAGAAGATTTTGAAGTAAGGGTTACGATCCTCGCGCAAGAATCGAGAACACAAGCGCGCAAAACTCTAGAGGCATTCTGGATTAATTCCAAGAATCTGAAAATGAACTGCAGGGAGGAATGCCTCGTTATCACGCGCGATATTGGACAGTATATAAACCTGCTATTCTGATGGGAAGAGCACATTACGCTTCCATGTGAATTCGGTGCGGTCGGTCTTCACGCGACATACTCAGTGGAAGACTCATAGAAAGCGGTGAGTGTGCAGAGCTATGCTAAATATGATTGGAAATCTTGGTTTAGTGTTTTCTCTGTTTGGTTATGGAGGTGTTTGGCCGAATGGGTTGCTGTCAACTTGACCCTTCCAGGCTCTGAGGAAGGCGAAATCCGCCGAAACGTCAGCTTGTGCGTAAATAAAGAAATAAAATAGCACCTCGTGTTTGCTGAACAGAAGTAGAAAGATTTATTTGAAAGTCTTTGGCGAATAACAGGAGTTCTTTAGATTTCTTCATTTTTCAACCAACCGGTTGTAGGTGTTAAATGAGAAGTAGATTTTCATATGTGGACCGAGGTAAGTGGTGGGCGTCACGGATATCCGTGAGTGCGTGCGTTCCAAGAGCTCAGAAGCGGAAATGACACATTTCTGCAAGTATGAACTGGAGAGGGAAGCAGGCTCACTTCCATTGCTAAGAAAACACACCAGTTATTTCGGAGCTCTTGTAAAAGAAAACCAATCTCAGTCATCGAAGGATCATTCCCCAGGCAAACTCAAAATGTGAACATCTAACAACTGCAGAATGATTGAGTAGTTGAATTAGATTGCGAAAAAAAGGTGGGAGCTTTTTTCTTTACATTTCTGTGAAGACATTATCGTTAGTACTAATTCGAGATTAAAACACCGAAATTTGGAGCTAATATTTATGGGGCCAACATTTCTTTTGCCACATGTGGCTGGATAATAACTACCTAATTAAGTACTTGAGGTCCCGAATTTCACCACAAATCCTGAAGTTCTTACGGACGCAGGACGATTCTCATTTCACCGCTAAATTGTTGGTTGGGCTGAGTTTTCTAGGGTTAGGGTCTCGAAATATTAGGGAAAATGCTTAGTAGAACCTTAGGCTTTGTTACTGTTTGCCAGACTACGTTGATGGTGAGATAGAAGTGAATTCTTGTACTAATTTCCTATTATCTGGGCATCCAGATGTAAATATCAAATTCGTTCACAGACTAGATGACCATGTGGGGTAACGAACTACGTTAGACTGCAGTCTGACAGCCTCATTAAGTTGCGAACCATTGAGAGAGGAGAAACAAATTTTAAAATAAATATTTTGGATTTATCGAGGTCTCATGGAATGGACACCTACAAGAAGAGTAGTACTCCGGACCTCTAGATTTTTTTTGAACCATGTTAACATGTCGTTTTATCAACATTCTTTATTAACTTTTTAACAAGCTTTTTTCAACGTCGTCCTAGCTTAGTAATCCAAGGAGGCAGGCTAATATGCTTGCTGGAGATAACCACTGAGCGTGTTTTGCTACTTCTCGAAAGTTTCTTTTATTATCGTATTTACTTCTAAAGCCTTATTCGTAACAGTGCTGCGTATCATATCATCTAACCAACCATATTAATTGTGGCATTACGAAAGCAAGAAACCATTATGCTCCATTTTTATCCGCTTAAGCAACCTTTCTTTTTTCTTTTAAGATGGAAGCGGTTGTAAAACAATTGGAAACCAAGAGCGTCCTCTTATTATCTAAAGCAACTCCAAAAAAAGGGTTAAAAATCATTACTGACATTAGAATACCGTGTCTTAGGATGTCAAGGGCACAATAAGTAGATGGCGAGCTTCGATATACCTAAAAGTCTGACACCCATTTGAACATACTTAAATTCTTCACTATCCATCACTCTGTGGCGCGTGTGGCACATTAGTCGGAGCACCACACGCGTGGAATCGATCCCGCGCCCGTGGCTCACCAATTCTTCCATCCCACTGGGGTCGGCAAATTGGTAACAGACTCGTTAGAGAGGATAGCAGCACTGGGTCGATACATCGGTAGGCCATCGCAAGTTATTGTAAAGTCCAGACATGCATTCAATCACCTCCAACGATGCTTAATGAAATCGAATGCATGGGCGCATCCCTCAGGAATTGATCAACGTTAAAAGCTTTATCCTTTCTATTTATCCTGTATCCATCACTATACCACAGTTCATTATTCGTTAAAAAATCGACGAGTAGAGAATCTAAGGCGACCAGCAAGTGTATTAACCACTGTAAGTTAAGCGAGACTGCAGATTTAGTGGTTTTAATGGCAGCATTTTCGCCTTGAGGAAAATTTGATCTTCATCTTTATAGTTTAAGCTTTTACCATTTGCTGATTTATCCTACATATAAAAACAAAATTGCTGCGCTAAATAATACGTGTTTTATAAAGCAGATAGATTTTTAGAGCGCTACAGTGAAATCTCTAACAGTACATCACCACGATCTAACTGATTTGTTACGGTAATTACTGTAGTGTTTCTCCAATATTGATGATTTCTTCTATGAGAAAATCGAGATCGTCTCTAGTGATGGCTTGATTTGAGATGATCATGCGGAAGAAGTTTGGTCGCTGTTTATCTGGTTGATAACCGACCATTGTCGTTCCTCTTTCCATCATTCTCGCCTTGATTTTCGGTGCAATCTGAGAGCACAAAGAAAATTTCTTTCAATCAAGATTAAAATCCATCGCAAATCCTTCCCTACACAAGCAAACCAGAGCAGGGATTCTTTTAATAAAAACTGTTTAAAAAGAAAATGCTAAAACGTATTTTATTTAACATTTTCCGATTGCTTAAAAACACATTTAGCACAAGGGTTAAAAGGGCTGTGCAATGCAAACGTTTCCACGAGTTCGACCACTCCCATTGAGCTAACAAAGCACTTCACTCCTCCGGGTCCATAAATTAGCTCCGAACTTGCTTAGGAGGGTAGGAACATTGATTTGATACATTTGGTATACCGAGAGGTAAAACAGACAGCGTTGAGCTATTTCCTAGCGATGCACGTTTGTGGAAGTAGTTGAACCAGTGACCAATGAAATCGATCAGCGCCGTGAACTCACAATCTTTAATCTTTAGGGAAAACACGTGGCTGATTCCGAAATTTCACCAGCTGCCGTAAAGAAATTTAGCTCTTCTTGCCTTCTTTGCTTTTAAAAATATTTACGCCTTTGTTCTACTTCTTCTTCTTTAACAATTACATAGCAAGGCGATGTTACCTTTTCCAATCTGGCTTTCCTCTCAACTGGATCCAGTTTTCGCAATCTGCTTGGCACGTACCAGAAACAGATGTTAAGAAATTCGGGCTAAATATAGGCAACGATAAAATTTAATTTCAAAAAATAAGCAGTGAATTTGTAAACTCCGACAAAAGCTTAACCTCTTAGAAAAGTACATAAATTTTGCACATATCTCTGGCAAGACTTGAAAAGTGAATTCGCCTTTTTCCAAGTTAAGACAAATATAACACGGTGCTCAAAGGTATTCTGCAGTACATACATTGTTTTGGTTCGACACCGTGACCTGGGCTAACCAATCCCCAGATCTCTACGGGGTCGGCGGGTCGGAAGACTGCTATCAAACTTATCTGTGCGTAGAAAAACACTGGTTTTAGTCCATGTAAATAATTGTCTAGGCTTAACATGCCTTAACATGCCAATCACCTCAAAAATTCAACGAATGGAGTTGAATGCAAGGAGAGTCTCTAAGGGATGGTCAACACCAAAAACTTAATCATTTTTATCCTCATGACTATTCTTACTTTAATAACTTCGCAGTTTTGCCAAGTTGCCGCCATTAAGTTGATACTGGGATGGCGCGTCTTCAAGGGTTGTGCGGCCCCAGCACAATCTCCACTTTTTCGGAGTTTTACTGTTTTAGCCATTGTGGTTCCCTGGAGTCCCGAGGTCAGTCTAGCTAAAGTCTGCCCCAGGTCGTCATCACCACAGGCAGTCACCGCCCTTATGAACTAAAGGAAGATTTGTCACCGTACGACTAGTTTGATACCAGGACGATGATGGATCCTGGCATTGGTTTACTCTTAGCTAGGCTTTCTGGTGAAACTCCGGACTGAATCTCAGCTTGGGAGGCCCTGCTCGGGGGAGAATCCACCAGATGTACATTACAGTCCGATACTCAGGAACACCTCCCAGCTACGATAAGGCGCTAACGCGTTGGGAGGGCCTCTAAGCTACTGAAAATAAATATGTTTGCTAGCTCTCACTTCAGTAAAGAACAAGAAACAGCTTGCACAAAGAGAAGCACGTTTAAACTCGTTGACCAAAGCAGACAGTTATTTGAAGACGACGTCAATGATCGTTTCTAATAATCACTTACAGGATCGATGACCAGCTCGTATCCTTCAGTTTCTCGGATCCTCTGAGTAAAATACCCTGCCAAATCCATTAGTCGATTCACCTGCTGTCGGTAACCTTCCATTCCCTAAAAGTTTACGAAAACTTTGTAGTTTTCGTGAACAATTCCTTTAAATTAGTAATTTCATCATAGTAGACGAATTTAGTTATTATTTGATATTTTTCTGACTTTTATTACCGTGTCCAAAAATTCAAATACATCTCATTGGTGAAAAGAATGCCTCTAATTACTGGATGGCAATACTTCAGCCATCTTGTATGCCGTTTGAGCATTCCAGTTTTCATATACTGTATAGCTTGCTTCAGTGATTTTTCTCTAGCTTTCGAGCTTGTTCTTTAAATTCCATCGTAATCCTAAGGAAAAAAATTCGCGTTCTGTTGAATTATTTCTGTCCCACGTTACTGTACCTACACTAAATTCTCTTTTTTCTGGTCTCGTTTAACGCAAGCGATTTCCAAAAAAAAAGAAAAGAGTGGAACCTGTCACTTGCTGGTAAATGGTTTCCTCTATTCTCAGATCGTTCAAACATTTTTCTCTATCTCAAAGGTAAATATAAATCGTACCGCTAGTGGGTTAAAAGCCAGCTAAAGCCTCTCTTAACCTTGTATAAGGGCGCGAGTAACGCAGTGGTTGGAGGCGCCCACGCGGAATCGATCCCACGTCCATGCCCCACCAAACTTTCCATCCCTCCGAGGTCGGCAAATTGGTACCAAACTTGTCTGAGAGGAAGCAACACTGACTCGATACATCGATAGGCAGCCGCTAGTCATTGTAAAGGCCAGATATGCATTCAGTCACCTACAAACGATGCTTAATGAAGTCGAATCCATGGCGCACCCTCAGCGATTTATCAACGCCATGGCTGTCGTGGCTATCGAAGAGATCCGAGTAGTATCCGTGAATGATTTTCTCCATTGCCTTTCTGGACGCTGTAACTGCTCCATCTGGGCGTCGGAGTGCAATCATTTTGGTCCTGTAATTGACGAAGCTTTGGTGAGATTTACGAATGCTTTTCCCAGCCTCTGCATGTGTGGTCTTCTCTGTAAAACTTCTCCAAGTCCATATAGAACGCTTCGACTTCTTCATTGTCATATTTTGATGTCGGGGCGTAAACGACGAAGAACGTCCGATTCGGGTTGTTAGTTGTTCTAATGAATCGATGTTCATGGACAAACTCGTGTTGACGAGAACGCCGAATCCGAGGAACATTTCTTCTCCGGTGTCATAGACGGCGTTGAAAGGCTGGCGTCTTTTCGTCTCGGCCAGGCCGATGACGTTAGACGGCGTTGAAAGGCTGACGTCTTTTCGTCTCGGCCAGGCCGATGACGTCGTACCTTATCTTTCTCGCTTACATGATCAGTCTTCTATCGAGGACTCGGATGCAAGTGTACGTGCATTGTAGGTAGCGATCGTCACCATAGTTTTTTGTGATCCAGACAGCTTCCATTGGCTCTGAGATTTTAACAGCCTCTCCGTATTCGTCTAAGCCAACGCTGCGAAAATAGAGGCTCTTTCGGGATCAAGGGAATGAGGTCCGTTTTTTCTACTGTGTTTAGCACTTTTGATACCCACGTATAGCTTGCTGGGATCTGAACATGGGGACTGAGTATACTCACGGGTAGCTTGCCAGGCTCTGACAGAGTGGACGTGGAGCTTATTTGTTGGAGGCGACTCCTAACCGCCTCCCATATACTTCCCTTTCTCTTGATTGCAGGCTTTTGGCTGAATCGACTCGTAGAATATAATCCGTACGAACTAGAACGTACCCACACACCCGTGCATGAATGCGTCGCGTAAATACAGAAAGTGTGTGCCAAATCGGTGAAGCAGAAATAGGGACTCCATTGCCTGGACCCATCTGTTTCTCAGGGAAGCAGAGGTCGCTTGTGGTCCGCGATTAACCCCCTATCCGCCACTTGGGGACGCACCACGTAGCCTCGCGACTAACCGGCTCGAGATCCCTCGTATGAGGGAGATCCGTGGAGGACTACAGGAAAAGAAAATTTTGTCAAAAAAGCAAATAATGAGTCAAATGGAAACTGTGCTGGCATGGAAACGATTCTTCGCGATCTTGGGTAATTCGAACATTTTGCTCCTTAAAATATTCTTCCATACTCATATTTCTGCTTTGGGTGATTTCTCATTCCATCCTATTTAGCGTTTGTTACCACATTCTAACCAAAAACACTAAAGCGTTAAGGAATTCTCGTATAATCACTTACCTTGCTTTTCCACATCAACCACAACTTGAACACGTCGTTGTGACGTCCACACTGAATTGCCTTATCACCAGTGTCGTAACTAACATCGTACGGTTTGTCTTGCATGAATAGATAGTCAGCAGACATTTGATTACATTGAAAGAGCAGACCCTAAAACTTCTCATTTGTTAAAAGTGTTTTAATAACGGTATCAGCAAAATGGACTTTAAGTGCTTTAGAAATCTCTGTCGAGTGCTTAGAAATTCGGGGAACGTTTAAAAGTCACATCATAAACGTCGAATTTGGAGCCACCAAAAACCTATGATTTGAAGAGTTTCTCCAAAAAATTCACTTCTAACCATTTCCAAAATCTCTACCATTCTATCACTAATAAAAGTAAGGTGATTCTAAGGGGCTCGTGTGGCGCAGCGGTTGGAGGCGCCCTGCAACACAAGTGGAATCGATCCCCGCGCCCACGGTTCACTAATCCCTCCATCCCTCTAGGGTCGGAAAATTGGTGTCGGACTTGTCTGGTAGGATAGCAGCACTAGCACGATACATCTGTAGGCCACCGCGAGTCATTGTAAAGGCCAGATATGCATTCATTCACCTGCAAACGATGCTTAATGAAGTCGAATGCATGGCACATCCCTCAAGGATTAATGAACACCAAGAGCTTTATCCTTTTTTAAGGTGATTCTAATCGATGAAAAAAACAATTACTTAAACAAAACACATAGTTGTTTCGGCAAGAGTGAAATAATTTGCATACTAAGTCAGCAGTAACGCTTGCAATTTTAGAGCTCTGAAATTTAATGTAATAGAGGTTTTGTTAAAGAATGCCAAAAATCCCGCAGCAATAGTTCGTCTTAGTGTTTTGGGGCAGCCGTACCTAGAAAAGGAAAGCAAGCAGTAACCTTATTATTCTGATTCCTGAGGAACAGAGGTTTGATAAGTGCTAAGTGAGCTTGTTTCTGTGACTTGTTTCATTGATAAGATATTGAAAAACGTATTTCTTGTAGACAATTTACAAAGTTATTTGAGTTATTTATGTAAGAGTTTATCTGTCACAAGATCATCATGAACCTCATCAGAGTCTCTGCAGTTGAATAAGGATAGAACGGAAACCTAGGCCAGATTTGAACTCACATCCTGTCTGAACAGACAAGCCGAGCACTGTAGTAAAGCTCCCATCAACTTGTGAGGATTCCATGTGACGCTATTCGCTCGCTCGATGCCGGCCAACTTGTAGCGATGCTCCGGTGACAGCAACAGTCCACCACCCCAAGCCGCCTTAAAATCGGAACGTTACATATCATCACAAAAAGCCGAACAGCTTATTTTTAACGATTACTTGGAAATCCACTTTGTATTCTTTCATTGATAAGCTAATACGAGGTTGATGAAAAGAAACTCTATTCGGCTAACATCCTGGCGCCTTCTCCTTCTTCAGAATCGGATTTATCCGAATGAATTGTTTGAGGTTGTACTCACTTCCGATGTGGGTCTTCGTGATCGCATTGAGTGGAATCCTGTGGAGTACTGCTCATTTTTTCATTAACCTCCTGTTAGCTTATAAATGGAAGAATAAATATTGATTAGTTGTGCCGAAATTAAAGGAAAGTTTGTTTTTGGAAAAGAAATGCCATTAGTTTCCCATCAGATAGGAGAAATCAATGATGCAAAAGATGCCGACTTCCAAAACTCTAATGTAGCCTGAATAGTTTGTCTATAAGTGTATTTTATACTACAGATATATTCGCTTTCTCTTCATAGTGAATTTTGTAAGCAAAATTTTGAACCTTATTTTTCCAATATGAAAAAGGGTTCAAATAAAGATAAAAAGATAAAGCTCTCGGCGTTGATCAATGGGAGATGCGCCATGCATTCGTCTTGATTAAGCATTGTTGGAGGTGACTGAATGCATACCTAGCCATTACAATGACTCGCGGTGGACAACCGATGTATCGAGCCAGTGCTGCTATCCTCCCAGACAAGTCTGGTGCCAATTTACCGATTCCGGAGGAATGGAAGGCTTGGTCGGCCGTGGGCGCGGCGATCAATTCCACATGTGTCGCAGTGGCGCTTCCAACCACTGCGCCACACGCGCCCTATGGTTCAAATATCAGATGATATTTCAAAAAACCGACTTTCTATGAACCTCGGCAAAAATACAATCTTAACCATTTTATTTACTGCCTATTCTTTTTAAAGGCATGGTATTTTGCGGAATATAACTATTTCAATGCTGAGATATTTATAAAACTCCGAACCGCAAGTGTCTGCGGGGGAAACGAACGCGCTATTGTCCTTTCTGGGGAGTAACGCGTTCACCACCACACCATGCGGGTCCTTCGTTTCGCCTGTCTCTTAGGTAGTTCTGTCGATCTTTTTGCCATCAGCAATCACCCGTCAACGGGATTGATCTGGAGAGCCCAAATCGGCATTGAACCCAGTTAAGCTGAGTTAAAAAGAATAGGCAGTAAATAAAACGGTTAAGACTGTGATTATAACTAGAGCCTCAGCTTAACTGGGTTCAATGCCGATTTGGGCTCCCCAGATCAATCCCGTTGACGGGTAATTGCTGATGGGATAAAGATCGATAGAACTACCTAAGAGACAGGCGAAACGAAGGACCCGCATGGTGTGGTGGTGAACGCGTTACTCCCAAAAAGGACAATAGCGTGTTCGTTCTCTATCGCAAGCTCCTGGGGTCCGGAGTTTTGCAAACACCTCAGCATTATAATAGTTATATCTCGGCATAAATAGTTGACATATTTATTCGTATGTTCTTATGAGATGATCTTGTTAAGCTGATGCGAGACTGGTATAGGTATAGGTCTTCGTTGTCGCTGTTGTTGTTG